AACATATGTTGGGTGATTGACAAACAACCGGAAAGATGCACTTGTCAAAACATCTTGGTGTACCGCCCATGCCGACATGCTCCTCTTCGGGACAGCCTAGAGTGTATCAAAGGAATGTAATGTACCCAAAAGCATGTCAGAATTCTAAGGACGGTATGGCTGGGGTTGTCTCCTACTGATATTCATCTACTCAGGTTTTGACTGAGCCCCGCCTGTGGCCAGGACCTCTATGTCGCCATCTGGACTGACACGCACAAACAATGGTCCAGCACGTCAACCAAGCAGGGCACGCGGGCCTGATTCTCACACCAGACATTTCGCCAGCCAACAACAGGCAAGATCCATTGAAAACCGCTACCAGAGAATGACCAGGAAAAACGAAGGATAGTTGAGGCGTGCGGCTTGGGTAAGGTCGATTCCCCAGTAACCCTAGCAGTCAGAGGGCTTTGAACGGACGCTGGACATCACTCGGCTCTCCGACTTCCGATGGACAATCACCCCACCCGGAAACCCCAGCCTGATCCGCCACCCCGCCGGCGGTGGGGAGCACATACAGCCACTCAAAGCCCTGCCGAACGCCGAACGTGAGACCAAACCATCCAAACGGTGATGATTGAAACCACAACTTAGTGGGAAAAGCGGAAGAATCGGAAGAATCACAAAAAAGGAGTCAATTTGCCAACCATCCTTCCCCTAGGGACGTCCTCTTGCTTCTCAAAACAGTTGGGTGAGCGACCCTGCAAAGGTGGTGATTGAAACTGTCAACAGGGAGAAGCATGGGTATGAATTATGTTTGGGCACCCTTTGGTGGGCGTCAGAAACACAAAGGGATTCATGTCCAGCAACCATTGTTGAGTGGGTCTCCATTTAAGTCCATAGCCACACAGGTTCCACCTGAGTCACAAGTGGGATTCCCACGGATTCCCATCTCCATGACTACATTATCACTGTATGGGAGGTTCCTACAAGTATCATGCAAAGTTGAAATTGAAAACCCCCTTGCCCAAAGAACTGGTCCCTTGAGGGAAACAGACTGACAAGCGGGTCGCATAGACAAGCAGACAGGCAGACAACTAGACAGACAAACAAACGAAACAAACAACTCAAGCAAGTCATACAACTCAAGGAAGACAACAAGCAAGCAATCAAAGAACCAGTCAACCAATCAAGCCAACATTGTTGTCAATGACGCAAGCAAACCAACAGAGCGGAATCAAACGCCCGTGCAAACCGAAGCAGACTATTAACAAATCGAAGCACAGCAAAGTGTGCGTCTCATGCATTTAAGAGGAAGCTGAAAACATTGCTAGGTGAACGTCCATGTGTTCACCAAATCCATGCAGCCCAGAAAGGGCAGCGTGCAAAAGCCAGGCCCAAACAGCGTAGTATCGCACCTGGACCAAAAGGCAACACAGGGCCCGAATTTTGAGTTTTCAATTGATTGGTGTGTGTGTGTGTGTGTGGGTGTCTGTGTCAAACACGTGGTTGTCCTTTGCTTCCCTTTGTCACAAGCCCAAAATTGGTATTTGGCGCCCGTAATCCTCGAAGTACAAAGCCATCTGGGTTACAAGCGACCCACCGCTCTGTTGGAGGGATTTTCCATCGGACGTCTTGTCAGTGCTAAAGCCTTTCCATGCCAGACCGCGTTAAAAAACGGGCAGGCAACACATAAGCAAAAGACGCGCTCGCCTGATGGCTAGGGATGTATTGGATGCCCACGGAGGTCTGGTTCCGGAAGTAGAGCAGCGGGCCTGGATCTCGTTGTTGTTCGTTTGGGTTTTCACAGTTTCCTTCAGGTGCTTTGCACATGATAAACACACGACTACTAATACACACGGAGGGTAGCAATCCCCAATAAGACTGCAGTGCATATTGGCCATGTCCATTTGGTCTATATGAAAAGGGCCCCCTCTGAAAGGAAAGTGTAAACCCTTGGGTTGTGATCATCTTTGACCCCTTTGGTCTTGTTATAAAACCTCCCAGTGTTGCTTTGCCATGTCCATGATGGCAGTTTAAGGAAATTCCATTGGCCCCAAGTGGCATTGGCATGAACTTTTGGGCGTTCCATTCTTGGGATGCATATGTGCCATGATGCTAATGTTTAAGATCATGCTGTCATGGTCTCTTGAAAAGGTCCTTACAACATTGATAGGTGGAATGGTCTTTTCGCTCCCTTGCCCTAATATTCCCCCCCGACCCCAACAAAAAACAAAGAAAAACAAAACCAAAATAGGGGATCCCCTGTCCCAGGTTTGGGGTGTGCGGTGCGCAATTCATTCTCCGAAAAATGGGTGCTTGGTGACTGATGGCAAGGGGTCCCCTGATAAGACTGGAAGAGAGGTCAGAGGCAGAAATTGTGAGCTTTAGTATTGGTTTCAAATTATGTTATTCCAATTCAGTATTGCGGCCCCTGGGGTTGGGGGGCGAAACATAATTTCTAGAATTTAGGGGGCAGGCCATTGATAGGGGGAAGGGACTAGTGCTGTGAAACCTCTCTGGCCATTTCCATGTGAAAATTCCATTGGCCAATTCCACCTGGCCATAAGTGGTAGGCTCCTTTCTGGCCATCTGCATTTCGAGAAGCTACCCATTTTCCATTCCGTCAAGTTGCACATGCCGCTAAAGTCAGCTGGCCCCCCACTTGGGTTTCTGAAACCATGCAAATGAGCACCGGCCAGCACAACGGGCCACGTTGGGTGGAAACCCACGGGAAACCTAACCATTCTCCACCCTTATGAAGTGATCAGCTTTGAGGAACGACTCGGTGCAACCCTATTGCGAGTCTTTGAGTTCTTCCGGTCGTCCCAGAAGCAGAAGCCAAACGCCCCGCTGAGGCACCAGGCCCTGGTCAAACAACACGGATGCGATGACGAAGTCGATGTAGGCCGCCTACTTTTTGCCAAAGCTGAACTGCACCCAAGCAGGCCCAGGGGGATTTGCTGCTCACACAGAGGTTCTTAGCAACCTTTGGTATTTTAGCAGTGCTGCGTGCAACACGCTCAACACGAACAGAACCACGGACCACCCCAAGCACATGCCGAGCACAGTGAAGCTAGCCGCTTGGGGGATAGATACTTTTCGCCGCAGGGCCTCTTGGGCCTCTTGGAGGCCTTGAACGCAACAGCTCGACACCCGAACCGCGAAAGGGCCTTAGGCCTTGAGCCGCCTTCCCGGTCCACATTTTGAGCAAACTGGTCCGGTGCTGAGGTCTCTCAGGTTTTATTTGGGTTGTTTTAGTGGACCTCCCAACCAACCCAACCCCGGGTAAGGGGGCACAAAACGTGGTGAAACAGAGACCCTCAAATCTGAAAGACCCTAAAGTCTCAAAGACTCCATAGGATAAGTAAGGCCTTAATGGCTACTGGGCAAACTAAGCTGCCTAATGTAGATGGCCGATAAACAAAATCTAACATGGGAAGGGAGTTGTGGAATTTTCAGAGGGAATTGCAAGGTCCCTGAGAGGCTGCAACACATCTTGGCAAATCTTAGGGTCTGATGACTACAACTCCTCGCAACTAAAGATGTGTTTTGTTGTTGTTTTGTTCGGGGAAGCTGGAAAGCGGCCAACGCACAATTCAAAATAGCCCACTACAAAAGCTAGCCACAACTCGTACCACACCGAGGACACCTGACTGATTGGGCAACAAGTAAGCCAGCCAGCTAGCAAGCGATCACGCGAGTGAGCAAGCGAGCAAGCAAACACCGCTGATTGCATCCCACCCGACCCACGCCGAATCAAAAGCAACGAGCCGAGCCGACCTCTGGCAGTGTGGTGGTCTCGTCCGCTTGCAAAATCCAGAGCCGGTAATTGTGGACTCGGCACGGGTCGCTGTTGTTTTTGGCCTGGAGTTGTCCAAATGTGGATGTTGCTTTTGCTTGACGGTTTGTGATCCCTTTGAAAGGACATGGGAAATACCAGAGGGTCCGAATTGACAGTGGAACACGGTCCTGGACAGCACAAACATGGTCAGGGTCCTGAGGGGAGTCTTTCTGGGGTGCTTTGTTTAGCCAAGGGAATCTTCTGGAGTGGACGTTGTCTTGCGTGAAGGCACGGTACCCCGTGTGAGGCTTCTGCAAGACAAATCCGATAGGAAAACACAAATTGGGGGGGGGGGGCATTTTGAGATATACCTGTGATGAGGGTGTGGTCCAAAACGGAGCTAAGAAACAAGCATGTCTAATGCAATTGTGTTTCTAATAATTATAGAAACTATAAAATCATATACTATAGACTATAGACATAAGACCCAACAGAGTTTGCACGAGTATAGAAATTGGGCCTGGGAAAGGGGCACTTCTCCACGCTTGACTTGCTTCCTGTCGTACTCAAAGGGGCAACAGAGCGACCCCATGCCAAGTCTTGCACCAGCTCAGCTTCTCTCGCAGAAATCGTTCCAATTGTCGACGCAAAGCCACGTGCATGGTTTCCAGAACTGTACAGGAGCTTGCTCGTCCTTCACTCGGGTCCATTGGGCCGTCGGGCAGCTGGAAGGGGCACACAACCAATCGGAGGCCATTCAGAAAGGTCTGCGGACCACTCGGAGCTTGCAAAGAAGTTCTGCTTGAGCCTTTTTTCCCTTCTCTGTTTTGGTCGGGCTGACACCCTCTTGAATGGCAAGAGTAAGGTTGAAGTTTATATCCCTTGGAACTTACTCTCAATTGGCTAGAAATTGTTCTTGAATTGCAAGAGTAGGGTGAAAGACATATTCCTGGTTGAAGGTTGTGACCTACCTCCCCAAAGGGAACTTGAAGAGAACAGTGGCTGTGCTGTTCACCTCACTTCCACATTGTTCGACCGGAGTTTGATCACCTTTCAGGAACCTCCCCCGGGGCGGGTCCCTACTCCATAGATGATCGACTCCTTGCGATACCAAAGTGGGGCCATTGAATCTTTCGTTTGCCTACGGGGAACCAGCAGTTTATTGCCCCCTTCTGCGGGCTTGCCGCCCCCATGACTACCAAAAAAGGAAACTCACATTCCATGAGGTAGATGCTTTGTATTGTAGCCCGAAAAGCCCAGCTTCCCTCTTGTGTTTGGGTGAACTCAAACAGGCGCCTCTCCGATTTAAAGTGACCAGGTGAAATGGGTTGCTTTGAGGGTTCCCCGGAGTATCCAGGTTTTGTTAAGAAGGCTTGCTATCATTCTAAGGTCATCTTCAAAGGAAACCTAAAGAACCATCCTACAGGCTTTGGCTTTCCCGCCCCGACATCACGGTGCCAGTTTAAATCAACAGGAATAAATCTAGGATTGATTGTCTTAACAGAGGGAACGCCGCACAATTTCCCTTGAAAGCCAACCCAAAAGGGCTGCCCTCAAAAAAGCCGCACCCACTTGACGGGGGCCCCCTATCTTAGAACACATTCATAGTTGAGGGAATGGATCCCTCACGTCTCCGTCCAAAGCAAAACCCCATGGACGGACCCAGTCGCGTGGGTTGGTGGAACCTTAAAGCAAACAAGTACGACTTGGACTTTTACCCAGCTGTGTGAGTGTTTTGAGGCTATCCTTTTCAGTGTCTGCCCAAGGAAAGCCAAATTGAAACCTCGCATGCTTTTTGGGAGATATATGGTCATGTTTGTCTGTTCAGGGTACGCTTTCTGGTGCGTGTTGTTCAAGGCCAGCCATATCGAAAACTAAAACCCATATTATGAGGCATGTCTCTCATTTGGGTACGCCACAAAATGAGGGACCCTCAAAATGCCTGTATAGTTGCCTTTTGGTTTCCCGTTCAAACCCAAGCAAGATTCCCTCCTGAGACAAGCCCGGCTCTAGCTCAGCTGTTGCCCCCCCACCAAAAATGCATGTTTGATTTTGGACCATATTGAGCGATCATTTAAATGCAAATTCAAAAGAGACCCTAGGTTTGCTTTCCTTCCCGCTGAGATCGGCACGACCACCCACCGGCAGCGCGCAGCCGCTCAGTTGGAGTGTCACGTTCTCAGCGATTTTTGGGACGTTGCGAAAGGCTCGCAGTCTCTCACGGAAGTGGCTGCAATTCCCAACAACCTCCCATTTCATGCCGGGCTCTTCAAAATTCGAAGATAACGAATAACATTGCGTATGCATTTGTGTTCCGGCCCTTGGCCGCTGCTGGATTCTTTTGAAGCGCTCCAGAGGCAAACCAATCAGAAACCAAAGCCAGCTTGGGGCATGCTACAGTCTACTTTGAGACACCCCTCTGTTTCCTGTGAAGCGTTCAACCATCTCGTGCGACCCAATTTGGGTGGGCTTCTTTCGCCGCACACTGTGGATGGACACAATCCTGAACCAGTTGAGATGGATGAGCCCAAATGAACCACCTACAAACTAGTGAAGTGGAATTCAATAGTGCCTGCGTTCCCAACCTCAGGTCTCGGCAGAGCAGGCGGCTGTGAGGTAGCGGTCAATTTGGCAGGAGGCTCCCCCTGCGAGCGAGGAGGAGCGGAGCAAACTCCAAAGAACCCGACAGGCGCTGAGGTTAGAATTGCCAAATGCCACATCAAAATGGGTGGAAACCCTTGAAGGGGTCCAACTGTACATGTGTTCAACAACCAAATGTCAAAAGGCAAAATCCACCCAAAAGTCTTCGAAAAAATGTTTGAAGGCATTTCATCTTCATCCTCAACCAATCAAAAAGACCAGAAAGACAAACTTTGCCGCCCATGACTTCCACTCCCAGTTTTGACACAAAGCCGTGCAAAAGCTAGGCCCGTGTTGGCCGTGCGTTGCCATTTCCTGGCTTCCCGGCTGGCATGGGTGTTCAAGGAACACTGCTCAAACAACCCTGGGACTCCCTGGGACCTATAGAAAAGAAGTTTGGCCCCTGGTAAAGGAAAAGCGACAGGAAATCAAGCTTCAATTGTCTACCTGGGTGTCTCGACCATCTTTTCGAGGCTCCAAGCAACCAAGCAACTGCGTGGTTTGTGGGCGTGCTGCCATCTCTTAGAACTTGGGGGCGGGGGTGCCAATTGATGTAAATGCAGGGTATATCAGGGGTGTATGGCAAAATACATGTGTCGGGCAGGCAACCAACGGGTACTTAATGCCTGAGGTGTTCTTTTCTGTGGTTGGTATGGTGTGTGTGTGTGTGGAGAAGATAAACCACAAAATGCCATTTTTACGCGCAAAGCGTTTGTCAGAAAGGGGATTGCAGGTGCATGACACACCCAAATGCTTAAGATGAGTACAATCTCATCAGAGCCAACGGATTGAGAAACCTGCAAATCGACAGGGGCTCTTTCTTTGAACGTGATCTGGATCCCATCTGAAATCTGCCAGCCGCTATGAAATAAACAAGGGTGTATTCATCTTGGTTTCCCATGCATCAGAACTCCAAGTACCTTCCCAGTAAACTTCGTAGGTTGTCAACTGGACTCCCATTGCTTCATGGGCGGTTTTCCGTTTGGCTTAACTTGACAACTCATTCCAAACGAGGTAGCTCCATTTCCAATGTTGGAACAACAATTCTCTTGATGGCTGCCCAACCAGCTTCATATTTCGCTGGTAAGCTAGAAAACAAAAATATGGACCTTCTTGCTGGGTGCCTCCTAAAAACGACACGCTTAGCTTGGGGTCAATAGTGAGCTTTGAAGTATCAAACAACGCCGAAAAAAAGGTCCCTACTTTCTAAAATAGCTTAAACATTAAAAAAGTGCAGCCAAATAACTTTTGGTGCAGGATTAAGAAACAAGCCTCCTGGTTGACTAATAGAGAGCGCTCTGGTAGAATTTTAGAGGGAACCCTTCACTTTGGGGAGTTGCACCCCTATGAATCCGCCAGGCTTTACTTACATCCAGGCGTACACAACAATATGTCCGGCCTTTGGCGTTCACAAGGTTCTGCACGTGGGTGCTGGTCATGCCCTGAGAATGGACGTGGCACTGGATGAAGGAACAACTGCCGTTTGAGAGGGACCAAAGTGGGGCTATGCCCGTACATGGTTTTGGAAACAGCCCCGGTGACAAAGCCGGATTACAATTATCATAACTTCTTGGTATCACCGGGAGTGGTCTTTACAACCAGCTTTGATTGAACAAGCAAACGGTTCGCCTAAATCAGGCAAACAAGCTTCTCCATCGTCTCCCAGCTGTTTATAAGGGTTGACAAAGCAGTCTTGCAGAGTCCCTTTCAACGCTTTGATGTGAGTCGGCACGGCAATACAAGTGTCACACAAGTTGCATCCATCTGGGGGGCCGGATATCAAGATACCAACCTAAATGGACCCCATGAAAGAAACCGTCAGCATGAGTGGAATCCGTTGCAAACCGAAACTCGGTCAGGTCGTGCATGCATGTGCCCGCTGGATATCTACCTCGCGAGTGGATCCATCCCTGTCCAGCTTTGTGACTCGGGACTCTCTCGGGGGACTTTTGTCAGGTTCCCAACAAGTCTCGGGAGACTTTTGAACCCTCTGCCCTTTCGCCCCAAAAAGCAATGCTGGGAGCCTTCTGACATCATCGATGCCGCCCCAAGACACAATGCCGGGCACTCGTGCATTCAGCGCCTCTTGGTTCATGCGTCTCACCCACATGACTTGGGAGTCCTCTGTCATTGAGTCTTGCCCGGAACTTCTTCGATGCCCTGCCAACAAGTACTTTGCATCTCTCCACGTTGACAAAGGCGTGATGTCCTTGCCCTGGTTGTGCTTTGACAGGAACTCATGAATGCACCGCACCGCCCTCGAATCAAGGCATGCGACAAACGTCGCAAAGCGATAAAACCGCAACGGGGGCGATGGGGAGTTGACCGATGGCAAGGGCTTCAAAATCTTCTGCTGGCGGGGTAGAGCATCATACTGCGGATGGACAAAATTCAACTTCACATCAGTTGGAATGGATAAAAAAACCTATGAATACTGGGATAATGCAACTACCAGCTGGCACAGGATTTTGATGTAGGGGCAGAACCATCCTCATGCGTTTCTACATAGTTTGATGAGCGAGCTTGTTTGAGGAGTCTCTTTCTTGGGATTTCATGTGAAACCACAAAAAACAAGTAAACAAATATGGTCCGGAATTAAGGGTACTGTCTTAAGGGTACGGATATGGAATCCTTGAGACTGCTTGGATGGTCCAGGGGGAGCCGCCAAACACTCTATGGTTGTCAAGAGATTATGGGGGCCCAACAGCCTAGAAGTCCCAACAGGGCGATGTTGAGCGCTGACAAGCGTCTAACGGACTTCTTTGCGCCTCGAGTTCCGGAACCGTTTTTCAAGCATCGGGCAGCTTTATGTGGGCAATCTCGAGGCGGTGCCCAGGAAGCTTTGAGGCTTGATGGGCGAAGAAACCGGACATCCGTAGCCCGCGAGGCCATGGAATTGAAAGCAAGCCCAACAGCTGCAATGATAACTCAAACGCAGCATTCGTTGTGTCCTGCCCAAGAAAACAAGGGGCACATTTCGGTGACCACAAAGGGGCTCAACAAATGGATTCTAGGATGCCACACACGAGATTGTAGATTTGGTTCAAGCTGGAACCCTTTTGTCACAATGCGCTAAAAGTGCCCCCAGTTGAGGTGGGGAAGGGCAATCTGAGCAACGTATTGCCTGTTTCCCACGCAAAAAGCCATGGGGAAAGTGGGTGGTCTTCTCCCGGAGATTTTGGATGGTTTTCTGCTCCTCCCCCAAACAACAGTTTACCAATGACATGTTTGTGTGTGTGTGTGCGTTTGTGCGTGTCAAAATCGGGGAACACTAGATTGGGGTGGCTTTCCTTTTTCTTTCTCTCTAAGCAAAGGCCCTGCGGCTCTCGCTCGGACATGCTCAGTGCGCGGCGACTACATCCTTGGGCGGAGACATCGCAGCGGCAGAGCGACAAGGTCCAAGTGCGTCCGGAAAAAGAGGGCCCCATGGTCGGCATCATCAGCGGGACCCCCCCCCCCCTTGTGTGTGGCTGGAGCAAAGGCTACAGAACTTGAAGGCGTGTGGAACTCAATGATGGAAGGCAACATGGAAAGCCCAAGTCCAAGTATGCATAGACACTTGCTCCGAAGGTCCCTGCAGTAAACCAGCTGGACTCCTGTTGTCTACCCTTGAGTTGTGATTAGCGTTCATGCGCTCCGAGCATGGGAAAGAAAACTCTATCTTGGTCTGTGACACTGTGATGGCATTCCAATTGCAAGAAAGACCACCGTCTTGATTTTCCAACAACAAGGTAGGAACCACAAGAACAATGCCAATGTAAGCCGAGAATCTCAAAACCCAGCCAGAATCGATCTTTTCCGCGTGTTTCCCACAAAAAGGGGGGAACATAATGCTAAGATCAGTTCTATGTCGAGGGCCCACCATCCAGAAGGATCCAGAGGAGGAGCAAACATCCTTCTTGCCAAAACTGGTTGTCCAACTATTCCCTGCAAATAAATGTACATATATGCAATTTCCAAACGGAGACTCTACGAAAGGATGCGCTTCAGGTTGCAGATAAATGTGCGAAGTCCAGCGGCTGTGGTGCTGGTGATGATCATCGTCACCGGGCCTTTCCGCAGCGGCGCGAACTCCATGCTCAGCCCGTCCTGTGCCAAAAGGGGTGGCAGCCAAAGAAAACCTGGGTATCACAATAGGGGTCTGGAACATAAATAGGGGGTCTGGTGTTAACCGGGGGGGGGGGAGGAAGGGGGGGGGGGAGGTTCTGCACAAAAACACAATGAAATACCCGCCCCCGCCCCCGTTTGGTATCCCTTTGCGCAAATGATAAATTCTGGGATATTTGGCACGCGAGAGAGAGACCTGGGCCCAGGGGCTTGTCTCTCATTGGAACCCTCATTTTCTGACTTTTTTGTTGGAGGGGGCCTTCAACCGTACCAGGGGTACCCTCAACAAAGACAGACACTGATATCCTCAAACAATTGCCGGCAGCTTCCATGGAAGCGAAGCCACATCCTCAAAACGCCCTGCAAATGGGGCTTCAAAGCGAAACTATCCCAAGCATCATGTTGGGCACCCCTCAAAATGTTCACTTTGAGGGACCTGGGACCAGGCTTCAGGGCTCCCTGCATTTCCCCTCAAACTCACCTAACATTGCTCCAAATAGCGATACTTAGACTTTTTAAACAGGGTTTGGCCCAACCCTGCATCCCGCGCTGAGTCACTCGGAGAAGGCATGTCATGAGGATCAAATAAGGTTTTGTTGCTAAAACGGGCACGGAACCCCTCACAAATGGGGCCTGGTGTCCTTTTAGTGTCCCTTTCAAACAGCCCCTGCAAAAGGCTACCCAGCCGCAAAGAAAATACACCCACATGAAACAGGGCTTGCCATTTACCCCCTGCATTGAATACATTGCGGGCCCTCCTAATCTCCGAATGGAGATATTATATGATCACTGTGGAAACAGTCCCTTGGCTTTTCCAAAGCAGGGCAACCACACTGAGATATCGAATCATGCGCCCGGAACCTATGGGAAAGGAGTCAGAGTCAGATGGTCTCTTGCCCTCACCCCCGAATCAGGAACCGTACAAATCATCCCGAAGCCCGCCCCACTGAAAGGCGCTGAATCACGCCCTCAACCCTTTGGGGGGGTCTTTCGGCCGTGGGTTGTAGCACTGAGGATTGTAACATTGCGAACACAAAAGGTCACCTTGTTGGGGGGGGACCTTCTGATTGAAGGCGGGATTCATGTTCAAGAAAGCCAAGCAAACAATCCACCCACAAACCAGCATGCAGGAAAATCGCCCCCAAGTCTCACAAATGAAATTGGGCTTAAGAAGGGACATTGTCTTCAAAAAAGGTATCTGAATTCTGCGAATTCCAGAGCAAGAGCACGTCTTTGTCGCCCTCCTTCAAAGCAGCCAGGATGCCCAACAAGGTGGAAACCACACAGGGCTGTTGAATTTCTAGGTCACATTGTGCGGTTGGCCTAGAGGACATTCAAAAAACTAGGGCTTGTGCCCAAGTTGCCAATAGACTGAGTATGTCGATGCCCAAAGTACCTGAATAAGAAAAGCTCCGCCTTATGGGATCTTGACTAGTAATAGGACCGGAGCCAAACGGTTCAATGGTAGGTTCCCTTTCCACTGAGGAGTCATTTGGGTGTGTTTCTTGAGGGTACCGTTTTGGTTCAAAGGGAGAGCAAAAGGAAGACCAACATTGTGGGAGGGCTAAATCCCTGTTTTGAGACATAGCCACTTCGCCAAAACACAATAGCCGGTCCTCCGAGACCTTGGTGAGCTTTGTGATGACCATCTCGGGCACCTAGAATGGGAATAACATATTTTGAAGCACACGGTTTTCCTTAGTAAATGCCTGGTTTTGTTAGCCGGGAGTTGACATCAACAAAATTCTACGGAAAGCTATCTCAACAAACAATAGGAACTCCTCTCCAATATGTGATTAGCATGTCCATTTCAAATGAAGGAGCTCCCCACTCTGGATATCCTGGCTAGCACCTCCAAGGACCTGTTCCTAGGAGAACGGATCCATAATCCCCGGAGAAAGCTAGCCGTGAATCAGGTAGCCTTCAGTTGGTGGCTTAGATTGCAACTAAAAATCCTCTGTGACTGTTTGTTTCATCTGTTTGCCTGTTGGATCGGGTGTGTGCGTGTGTGCTCCCTTCAGACACCAAAGAGAAGCAAATCCTTTTTCGGCGTTGCTTTGGACGTGTTTGCCTTGTCCTCTTGGTAAAACTATTCCCGAGTCAGGGGCTGACAAATGATTTGTAGAAATTTGCGGTACTTCGAGAACAGGTAGTTTGCCGCCAAACAATAGCTACAAAATAGCGAATTCCATTCAAGTAGCCAACCGTGGACTAGCGATAATGTTGTCAGTTACTCAGTTGCCAAAAGGGCCCAAGAATAAAAGGTCAAGCTTTGGGATCGACAGAACAACGCTGGACTGGATGACAGGTGGCAATTCTCTTAGTCTCATCGAGGTCTTACAAGCTGTTGAACACATGCCGTTTCCCTTGCTCTGGGAATGCGATCTTTGTCAGAGGCCCTACCGCCCTCCCCGCCAGAAACCGTTGGGCCCCTTTGGCAGCTTAGCCTTCCGTCAGGCCTACGCCCTAAACTCCGAAACCTCTGGGGTGGTCTTTGCAGGTCGGCTTGCTAGTACGCTCCTTTTGGGCTCTCAGAACTCCCGAGTTTGAGAGTGCAAATGGCCTCGAACGCTCCCTTTGCAACTTATTCGTCCGGCAAGCGAGGACCTTCAAGGAAATACTTGCCGAGTCTTTGGGATTCCATAGCTCCGCAAAAACTCGGGGCTTCGCGTTCCTGACTAGCGCGTTGAAGCTCAACGAAACAGCAAGGTCAAGGGGCATCGTAGTGCGCTAGAACAATCGTGCCCTGCTCGATGTACCTGAGCCGGACTTGACGCAAATTCGGCAAGCCAAACGATATGTGAACATAAAAGTTCACCATTTGTTTGGCCCGTACTTCAGTAACCCAATAAAAGGTAAGAACGGTTCGTGCTTGGCGCAGTCAGCAAACCACCAACAGTCTCACTGGCCGGGCTAATGCCTCTAGCAAGGAAACTGGGGCAATGGCAGTCCAACCTTCCTTCCCGCTCTTGCTTTTCCAATGTCCCCTAATATCAATGTGAGCCCCGGTGGTAGGGTACGCAATCAAGCGTTCCCTTTGCCGAATCCCCAAGCCAAATCTCATGTCTGGCTGGCTTGTAGGGTATGCCAGCCGTCCGAATGCATTCTGGCCCAACGGAACGCTCAGGAAAACGGAACCCTCATCAGACCCATAACCCAGGCAACTTACAAGGAAATCGTAACCCCTAGGGGTCAAGCCACAAAGCAACGGACGCCTGCAAACTGCAGGTTTCATCAAGTATCTTTCGTATTTTTCGAAGGAAGTAGGCTTTGAAGACCTCACCTAGATCGGGATCTTAAGCAGGCGACCCAGGGCATACGTTAGGGTCCGTGCCCCGGTTGGGTTCCTGGGCATCTTTGTGCATCCTTGGGCATGCCGCATCTCTGGGACCCTGGCAAGGACATGTTCTCCAGGGTAGGCACATTCTGACAGAAGTCGACCATCTCAAGAGAGGTGGGCGTCGTCTGCTCTGCCAAGGAAGACTTCGTATAGACCAAGAAGTAGCCAAAGCCTGCACAGCTCACATCAAGGTAGTGCGTGCAATTGGGATCGCTTTTATGAGTAGATACAATTGAACAGCAAACACGTCATGGCTTGACATCACACCCTAGAAGAAGCTGAGGTATTTGGAGCAGTGGAGAGCATGCTCAGATGCAAGTCGAAGCAAGAACTCGGGAACAAGTGCAGCGGATCAAAGCGGCGATGCAAAAGCCGGGCCCAAAGCATCATGGAGTCGAAGCAGGCTACGTAGATGGTTTGCGGCGAGCTACACGGGTTTTACAGGAAAACTGGGGGTTGACTTTACCGGACCCTCTACCCCAAAACGAAAGGGCGGCCGCTTTCATTTCTGGCGGCTAAGGCAAACTAAGGCAGACACATTGCAACATTGTTCCAGTACAACAGATTGGCCATGGAAGGGGGCTACCAGGGTTACCAAATCCATCCTTTGGCTCAGAACAACGCATCTAAACAAACGAGCAGCCTCCTCAAAGTTGACCGTTCTAGAGTCACAACGCAACTTTGCTCTGCTCAACATGTCTGAAGTCAAAGATATTCAATTATCGCAGATTCCATATGTAAGGTCTGCTAAGGATCCAACATTTAGCTCGCATTAGTCGAAGAGCACGTCTAATAGTGGGGAGCCAGATCTTACATGATATTTTGAGGCCCCCCTCCCCTGAACAAAATGCAAGCTGCTGACCCCAACGTGTCTCAGTCAATGAATTTCCACAAGATGCCAGTGCGCAAAGCAGGCAAGTTACATGTTCGATATATCGTCGCACACGTTCCCGCTGGGTAAGCTGGGTCTGTGTTAGAAAAGGACCAAAAACAATCCCGCCAGTTTGGGGTCCCTCATATTTGGCTCCACAAATAATCAAGCGAGGCAAGCGAGCCGAAGTCACAAATCCGGGCGCTGCTTTGTCTGTACACAAGAGGTTTACAAACTTTTTCTCTACGCAAAGTCTATTCTACAACTTCGAACCTTTCTCCAATCTGTACACTGTACACAAATCAGTTGACCTCTCAGACGTTTGCTGCACCCTCAGCTGGCACCCAAGGCTTCGTCCACATATTCCTGGAACTGGGTGGTTTCGGCAAAGCCCAGGCGCTTGTATATCCCCATCACCGAGCTCTTGGACGCGTTCGCCGCTATGACCAGTGCAGTACGGCCGAGGCCCTTTGCTTCCACGGGGGTCAACAGGTAGCGACACGCGTACCAACAAGCGAGCTGCCCATAGCCACCTGTGCCAAGCTGTGGCTTAGTCTGCGCGGAAACTCATGGAAACTCAGAAAATATTTGAGGGCAAGTTCATGGGAAACCAAAGAAAAATCAAGCAGCTTGGGGCGTTCCATTTGGAGACTAACCCAAACACAGTTTGCCCCTCAGCTGGGTCACGGCCACGAAAGTCTGGAGCTGTGAAGACCCCAGTAACGCGCATGGTGTTGGCAGTGGCACCTCCGTAGCCCGCGTAGCTAACGAATTCATCACTGTTGAAGAGCAGAAACATGCCACGCGCTTCTGTCGGCAACCTGGCCAAATACTTGCTGATTTAGCCCTTGAACTCTCCAGGGCACTTCTGCTCAAACGACTTGGGCGTGACTTGTTTTCTCCCGCGTTGGTTTTTTCAAGGCAAAGCCCAGAGAAGACGAAAAGCCATGTTTGGCGGGTTTTCTCGTTTTGCAACAAGCTCACCTGGCCAATTCCGACAAGTGGTTCTCCACCATGTGGTCCTGTGCGTATCCCATGGCATCTACATGGAACTGATGAACCCACCGGCGTATCCATCCAGCATCTCTTTCAGGTTCATAGCGCCGTGCTGTCAAGCTAGGGTCATCCTCCAGTCTCAACCGCGGCTCCTGCAAAGCATCCTTGCTTGCAACCAAGGCCCAACTTCAACAAACGGTGCCATGACTGGAAAGGAAATAAATATCGACTGGCCAGGTTGGCCTTTGAGAACCAGGTCCTTAGGACAAGGACCAACCATGGTTGCCCAAATTGGGTGTCACCAAAAGCTCCGGCCGGCTCGCTTTGGTTGCACATAAGCTTTGGTTCCCTTCCGCAAAGTCAGCAAAACACAAAAGCTCGAACAACCAACAACCAGAAGTAGCGTTGCAAGTATCTGGGTTGAGCCGGAAGAACTGCATGCGGAGGCCGGGTTTCAGCCTAGGGCAACCACTGCCACACAGTTGCGCCGATAAAAAGTCCACCAGATCCGGATGACCCACAATCTTCACAGGGAAGAGCCTCTTCTCGATCAGAACCTGGGTGTCAAACTGACACATCTGCGAAAGGTTGCAAGTACCAGTGGGAAGTTTGTGAAAGGTTGCACCAGGGTGCAAGTACATGGCAGCAAAAGGGGGAGGAAAACATGGAGAAATTGTGCCCTCTACTTTAACCCAACTGTACAGCAAAGAAAGGTTGCAGGTAACACAGAGCCAAGGAACGCTCCCGACATAGCCGGCCAAACATTTCAGCGCACCCTGCACATCTTCCGATGTCTCAGGGGCAGTCAGGGACAGCACCAAAGGGAAGGGATGAACCATGCAGGCCACTAGCCTTGGCGAATGCACATCGCTTGAAGGCGACAAAGTTTGTCAAAACTGGAGTTGCTGTTGGGGCTGGTGTGTTGGGGGGTGATAGAACAGCTTTATGATTCATGATCAAGGTTCAAGCCTGATGTTGACCCCGGATCTTGGTAGACAGTGGAAAAATGGACAGGGGTTTCTTCCAAAGTGAAGGATCCCCTCTATTGTGGGAGTGACCGATTGATCCGGGGGCAACACTAAACCAGGGACTACCATAATTTTGGTGAAAGGCAAAAATATCAGATAGTACCAAAGGTTGACCCAGTAGCACAGGAGATCCGGATCCGGATCGGAGGGCCAGCAATTCGGGCTCGACGTTGTAAAAGTTCATATCCTTCTGCAAATTCCCGAGCACACCTATCATCACACTATGCTCTGCTTCCCGGTCTGCGAATATGGGCTCCGCATCCCGCATGAACTCAGACACTGAAGTGTAGCACTGGACTTGCATTTGTTCCTCCGCCATGCCCTTCGGCTGCGCAAGAGACATCTCTTGTAGGGTAGCAACTTTTGAGCCATTGAACAGTTTTAGCATATCTCAGGGAACTGCTTAACTGCACGTGCTTGGCTGGTACCCAACTTGCGTAGCTGCCCTCGCAGGCCGAGCCTCATCCCGCAATTCTTGCAATACGACTAGTTGACATCTGTGTTCCTCTGTCAGGATGTTATGTTTACCCCGAGGTCTGATAGAACTACCCGTGGCAAAGGTTTGTTGGGGAATGGTCATCCTATGCGCATTCCCAAACCTCCTGCGTTTTGGAGGCCCTTGCGCTTATTTGTGCTGTTGGGGTATGAAGGGGGATGATGTTCATTGAGGGGGGACTCAACAGGTCTGAAATGGAACCACCCACCAACCATTCCCCACATTTGGTTTCGGACTGGGGGGCCCCATACAGCGCCTGGGA